CTGCTTGCAGCAGCTGACCGTAATTTGTCTGGTGATTTTTCCAGCTGCAGATAATTTCTGCGATTGTGTGACATTTGGAATTCTGGGAATTTTTCAGAGGGTACACAAATTTGAGGGCCCCCAAGAAGCAGAGTTGATGGTTGTTGGTTATTTAGGGAAGTTGTGGTTTGCTCATGGCTGTGGTTAAAGAAGAAACAAAAGGAAAGAAATCAGATTCAGGGATTTTCCTAATTCCTCTCTCCTCTCTGTCCTTCTCTCTCTGCTATCTATTGTTAGTGAGTGAAACCAGGGAGATAAAGGCTGGGAAAAAGAAGAACTCACAAAATACAAAAGACCAGCTACACTTCCTGTCCCTGTACCTGCTCCAATGCTGTCTCTCCTCAGGCCTGAGATGCTGCTGTTGTCATGCCAACACTGATTCTCAGAGGGGCTGTTGCTAGAATGCAGGTCCCCTTATGCTTGTCTCATACTGCTGCTTTGATAGTATGACTTTCAGGGAGGAAACAGACTTCCTGGGACCTCTTATTCCTTATAGGCTGTCCCCCTGCTCCCTCACAGTCTAATACAATCACAAGAGCCACTGCAGCCTCTCCTGGGATGCTCAGGACTAGTGCTCTACTCTCTCCAGTATTCATCCCACCTACTCAAAATGTCCTTGGTCGACGGTCACCCGGTCACCACAGGACTGGTTTGCTCCAAGGTATGTTCTCAGCCCAGAGATCCTGACTCTTCCTGGAACCTGAGATCAATCCTAGTCTCCGGCTTGTTGCTGACCCAGATGTTCCTGTTTCTCCTGACCTTGCATATCCTCTCCTTGACCTTTGATCTGGCTACTTCCTGCTGTGTCACCGCTCTTCTCTCCCTCATGCCAGTTCTACTGCTGGTCTTCCTGGAAGCCCAGAGTGTGACGAGAGGGCAGCTGACCCCAGCCTGCTCAGGTTCAGGTAAGCATGTGAAGAAGATACTTTCCTGACTGATGCCCTCCACTTGGAATGGGGCCACAGCACTCAAAGCCATCTGTAGACCTGCCACAGCCTCCACTGCTTTGGAGCCAGGTCCAGCCAGGAGGTGAGGGTCTCCCACCAGGCAGCAGGGTACCTGTCTGGGAACTAATACTGCAAGGTAGGGGGCAGCGCCCTCAGGTGAAGGGGAGCGGGGGGAGCATTGCAAGGGCTGGGGATAGAGATTCAGAAACAGGAGAAAGAAGAGTTCCTTTTATGATGCTGGGAGAAACGGAGACAGAGCCTAAGACTGGCACGAGCCCCACACTCCTGCCAATCTTCACTCAGCTGATTCACCTTCCTTTCTTTTTTTTCTATCTCTCTTTTTTTCCTTCTTTCGTTTTGTTCTTTTCAAGACAGGGTTTCTCTGTGTGTAGCCCTGGCTGTCCTGGACTCACTTTATAGACCAGGCTGGCCTCAAACTCACAGAGGTCTTCTTGCCTCTGTCTTCCTGAGTGCTGGGATTACAGGTGTGCACTCCCAGCTCAGCTGATTCAACTTAATGCTTCCCACTATAAGGCCTGGTGCAGGCTCAGTTGTAGGTTGAGAGATGAAGTGAATCCTAGCCCTTCCCAGCCATCCAAGGACTCTGTGTTGAGCCCTGGCCTCTGCACACTGCAGAGATACAGTGGAAAGCCGCTCTGCCTAGTGCTCAAGAAACTTCAGTCCCTGGTGAGCGCTCCCGACTTCCACTGCCGCTGACCCACCCTAACCTTTGAGAGGTCTTCAAATCGCAGCCCAGTTTTCACTAGTTCCCTAATCTCTACGAACATCCTGATCTTTAAATCACCTGGCTGGCCCCTACCTTTGAGGTCTTCATCGTCTCCCTGAAAATTGGATTTCCCACTCCCTCAGGACCCTAACATGTTCCTTCCCTTAGCTTATCCCTCTTTCCTCTCCCCTGCAAGCTTCAAAGAGACATGGAGCAACCACCTGTCCCCAGGTGCTCGTCCCCAGGGTGGCAGCCGAGAGGGGTGTCGGGTTGTGAGCTGCTTATACATCCTAGAGGGGCAAGGTGGAGCTGTGGCTGCGCAGAGGAGCTGCACCCCCACACGAGAGTGTCACAGCACTTCCCCAGACCAGAGTGCTTTGCTTCCTGAAGCAGGGCCTGTGAGCATCCCAGCGGACAAGTAGCTCCCCACAACACCCTGGAGCCTACACTCGAATCCATGCCCCAGAGAAATGTGAATATCTCGTACGCAGCTGCCTGCACCGGGAAGTGGAAGAGGAAGGGGGAGGTCATGGTGCAGATACAGGAGGGTTCCCACCTCATCTCCCTGTCTAGCCTCAACCCTTCAAACCTCCCATTTTCTTCCATTTTGTACCTCCTTTTCCTGCAAAGGGAATGCCTGCCTCAAAGGGCAGGACACTCCAGCCATGTTGCCCAGGCAACATGAACTCCTGTGAGGTTGGCCTGCAGTGCTCCCTCAGAGATGCAGGCCTGGAGTAGCTTGGCAGTGGAATATACAGGGAGCCACATTCATGGAGAGCAAGCTGCCTGGGGTTGAGCAAGTCTGACCCTCTCTGCATAACACTTTAATGCAGGGCATCAGGTGGAATTTTCCAAGTCTCCAGAACACAGCCCCTTGTTTCTGACCTACTGGTTTTCTGGCAACTGACTGAACAACCTCATGGAGGAAGCTAACCTCAGCTTAATTCTAGTTTCATTAAGTTTCTCACCTTCAAGAGCTGGGGGGAAAGCAAGAGGAACACGAATGGTCTATCTCAGGCTATACTGCAGGCTGCATTGAGTCCTGCATGGCAGGAACACTCAGGTGTCATGGAGCTGGAGCTGGGGCTGGACCATGGAGTGCTCAAGCCTTTGCCTCAGGCAGCTGTCTCTAGTGGGATAGGACTTTTCACTTTTAAAGGCCACTCTAGGAGTCACCAGGAGGCCCCTGCCCTGCATCCTGATTGTAGCTACACTGCTGTTCCTCAATTTCGTTCTCCTCCTGTCCCCAGTGTACTTGGGTTCAGTGGAATCAGAGAGCAGCATTCAGAAGACTGTGATCCCTGTGGACCTCCACCTCACCCATTCTAAATTCCACAGCTGTGTCTTTAGTGAGCATGACTTACCAAGTCCAGCTTCTCCCTTCGCTACTCACAGGGCCTAGGGCTGAACATGGATTCTCCAAGGTCAAGGACAGGCCACTGTCACCAATTCCAAGGAGAGGCTTATGCTTTTTGGGGGAGGAGGGTAATACCTGCCTGACCCACATTCTGTGGGAAGACCCCCAAATCCTGCAGGGAAAGTTTTTTCATTTACAGAAACTGTTAAGTCTGAGAGGAAGACCTCAGACTCAGGTAGTATGCAAAAGCAAGGATCATTTATTCTGCAGAACTTTTCCAGCATGCAGGGGCCACCATTCCTTCAAAGGGGACCACGAAGTGAGTGCATAGGCTCAATTTAAAGGCAATTAGGGGGATTTCCAGAAGGTAACCTTTTGTAGTGGCTCAGGAGGTAGGGGGGTGGAATTTAGGATTGGCTAAACTTTTAGGAACTTCCCAAAGTTGCTAAGGACTCTTCCTCACATTTGCTGAATTATTATACTTAGCTCAAGCCCACGCGTTAACCTTTAAGCTCACTGGGTGCCTGTGACCTGCAGTTTTTTTTTTTTCAGAAATTGTTTTTCTGTGTACTGAAAAACAGAAACTCAGGCCTCGTTAGGCAAAGTTGAAAACGAAGCTTGTCATGGAGTCACATTAGCCAGCTAGATTGGGGCCTTCTGGGAGTCCCTCTGAGGCTTTGGAGTTATTAGACCCCTCCCGTTTTCCCAGACTCTCCTCTCCAGCTTTCAGCATTAAGTGACCTCCACTCCCCTTCACCTCTACTCGATTCCCTTTCCCCTCATCCCCCATGTGACTCTGGAACTGCACATCAATAAACTTGAACTCCTGTTGTGCCGTGCATGTCTAGGAAAAGACAAGCAGGAAGATATACCTGTTTCTTGAAAACGTTTATACATGCAGGTCGAACTGGTTATCAGAATGCAGCTCACAACAAAAAGGAGGGGGACAGGTTAAAAGTTACAGTGGTGGAGAGAGGGATGGTTTGGCAGGTAAAAGCGTGTGCGGCTAAGCCTGATGACCTGAATTTGATCATTCAGTCCCCATCCTCACATGGTGGAAGGAACCAACTCCCACAAGTTGTCCTCTGACCTCCACACATGAGCTGTGGGGTGGTGTGTGTAAACCATAATCTACAAAAACATTGAAAAAGATTTTTTTTTTCATTTTTATACAGAGTTTTTTTTTTTTTTTTTTTTTTGTATAGTCATGGAACTAGGTCTGAATAGATCTTTAAAGAATCAAGAGGTCCACATCCTCCTTTGCTTTAAGAATAGAGTCCTCCACACAGCCTGGGGGTAATTGTCATCATGTCACAGATAAAGATGCCACATACTTCATATTCCATGAACAGAAGAGCTAGATGGGCCTTTAGAACATTTGACAGTTCCCAGCTGAGAAAATGACACAGGAATTGGAGTCAGATTCCCCCCCCCCCCCCAGCCCCCAGCACTGGTCGGCTGCAGGTTTTGTCACACAGCTTCGTTCTTTCGCTGCTTCATCTGGGGAGTGGAGATGATTTTTCATAGTCTTACATTAAGTCAGGGCAAGGTAGCTGTTACTTGGAAGAGTTTCCGGAGAATATAAAGCTGTCCCTTCCTGAATGTGAAGAGTTGAGGACGGAATTAACTCGAAAAAAAGTTGACCTCACTTTTTCCGTTAGAGTAACATGACCGTCTTTCCTTCCGTCTTGGGTAGGAGCCCTGGCGCCTTGATTTGGTGGGCTGAGAAAAGCGTCCCTCGGGGAGGCTTTCCAGAACCGGGATGCAGAAGTATGATGGGATGCAGACTCCAGATTCTAGATTTTTAATGAGATTAAGGGCGGGAAGACCCACCCACTCACCCTTGATTGACTCGGGCATGCTGGGACTTGCAGGCTAGCTGTGGCGCCGGGGCCGCTGGGAAATGTAGTCCCTGACCTGATGTGGGACATCGGTGTCCGGCGGGCCCAGGAGTGACAGCTCGTGAGGTAGGCTGCAATGACAAGGGTCTGAAATAGGTGTAGAGTGGGAGGGAACCTGCAAGCTGGCTGCTGGGGCTCCTGTCCTGTGGGTGCCAGAGTGGACACCCCCGTCCTGCTGCTGATGCAACGGGGCCTGTTGGGTGGTGAGGGCCAAGGAGCAACGGGACACTTTTCAGGGCTCCAAGGAAAGAGGACCGGGACTGGGTTATTTCTCCAGAGTAAGACCCTCCTAGCTGAGATTAAGGAGAAGTTTCCTCCCCATCCCTATTTCCACACACCACTACTAACCTTTCCCAGAGAAGCACCAGATGGATCACAACAGTTCCCTGAAGAGGGCATCAGAGCTATGCCCCGAGGCAAGGGTACTAGCAAGTATGCTGGACCCCACTGGTTGCCCTCCCGAAGGGAGATCCAGTTAGCGGCAAAGCAGTGGAAACCCATTTTTTTGGAAACATAGAGAGGGCCATTGTAGGAAAGAAGGTGAGGACAGGGAGAAGCGGGATAATCAGGCTCTCTCCTTTCTCTCCACAAAGGCTTCTTCTTCCTTCCCCACAGCCTTCTGAAGCAGCTCTGTGACAGCATGGGAGCTTCCCACCTTCCCTCTCCTAGAGTTTGACTACTTAGCATGGACCAGTCTGTGGCAATCCAGGAGACCCTGGCTGACGGGGAATACTGCATCATCATATCCTTTCGAGCTGTAGGTTGCCACCTAGCTCATGCCTGCCATGGCCTTGAGTGGTGGGATGAAGGTTGTGGAAAGTTCTGTTCTCTCTCTCTCTCTCTCTCTCTCTAAGCTATATGCGAGGGTAAACCAGCATTTGCCAAGCATTCATTTGGCTCAGGACTTTCCACCAGGTACTTTAATGCAGCTCTCCTCCCAACCCGCTGGGACGTGGGTATTGTTACACCCATTTGCAGATGAGGAAGACTCAGAGAGGGAAAGTAATTTGCCTGTGGGGGGAAGGGGGAAAGGCAGCCGTGGTGGAGTGGGCTGGATGAGAGGTTTGTCCTTGGCTTTCAGTTTTCCTTCACCCTGCGCAGCAGGCAGTACAAGGTGTGCTCTGTAACGGAGAGAGCAGGCAGAGCCGCCTGCTGGGGTTGGTGAGGTACCAGCCGCTGGAAGATGACGTTCAGGAGCATGCGTAAGTAGGCCTCAGACTCTGCGGGTCTGGGCCCCGGTTCTTCTTCAGTATCCTCCAACTCAGTCATTCTGCCTGAGCCTCCTAGAGTAATTAACATAATGATAGTATCTTTGGAACACGGAGTTCCAAGCCCCTTATAATCAGCAAGATGGTACACGGAAGCTTCTAGAGAAGAGGCAGTTATCACACTTGGCCGGATTTTGAGCTTGTGTGAGTGCCTGAATTTAAATCCTGACAACCGTGATCCTCAGCAAAGTGCTCTTCAGAGCTCTGATAACCCAGAGCAAAGATCAGAGGGCTGAACTGGGGATGGGAGCTCGCAACCAGCAATCCCAACACTCAGGAAGCCGAGGTAGGAATGCCACAAGGTCTAGGCCATCCTGGGCTACAGAGTGAGTTCCAAGACAGTCTAGGCTAATAGAGTGAGAACCTATCTCAAAAAGAGAGAGGATGGGGCTGAAGAGATGGTTCAGTGGTTAGAATGTGCACTGCTCCTTGAATTTGGTTCCCAGCAGCCACTTTCAGTGGCTTACAACCCCTGTGACTCCAGTTTCAGAGGATCTGAACCCTCTCTGGACTCTGAGCACGTGTGTGCGCGCGCGCGCACACACACACACACACACACACACACACACACACACACTGAGTAAAAACTAAAATATTTAAAAAGAGGGGAAGGGATGGAGATGGTTCAGTTAGTGAGGTGCCTACCACACAAGCATGAGGACCTGAGTTCGGATCCCGAGAACCCATGTAAAAAGCTGGGTGTGGAGAGATGGCTAAGTGGTTAGGAATCCTTGCTTTTGTAAAGGACTTAAATTTGGTTCCCAGCACCCACATCAGGCAGTGCACAGCTACCTGTAACTCCAGCTCCAGGGTTCAGATGTTTCCTTCTGGTCTCCATGGATATCCGAACACTTGATGCATCAACACACACACACAACACACCACCGCCACCACACAGACATATACACATAACTAAACATAAAGTAAATCGTAAAGAAGCTAGGGGAGGTAGCGAGACAGGTGGATCCCTGAAGCTGGTCTAGCTGAGTGAATGAGTTTCAGAATCACTGAGAGAATTTCACTAGGTGGGTCTAACTTGATAGGTGGAGAAACAGAAGTTCAGGGAGATGAAGGGAACCATGTAAGGACACACGGTTCCTGTCACTCACATGCTAGATGGCAGCAGATTGGCTTTTCTTCCAACTGTGAGGAGTTAGTTATGCTTTGATGACATCATCCACACATTACAGCTTCCTTGAGCACTGTGGATGGAAAGGGCCTGAGGCATGCTAGGGTACTGCCAGCAGAGCCTTGGGACCCACAGGTGACTGCAAGCACTTCTGCTCATTTCTGCTTTCTGCCCCCAGGCTCTTTCTGTATACACACCGGAGGATGGCCATCACGGGAGACGATGTATCTCTGGACCAGATAGTCCCACTCTCAAAAGACTTTATGCTGGAAGAAGGTGCTAGTCAGGCTGGGTGGTCTAAACTCCTCTCCCCTGGGTGCCCCCCAGCCATCTCTGCCTTTCCTGTAGCAGGGCGGGTGTGGCAAGAGCAGATGATGGAAACAGTGATGTTCATTTGCTAAAGGCATTCTCATTTCCCTCCCTCAGTGACCCCAGATGGTGAACTCTACATCCTTGGTGAGTAGTCCTTTTAATCAGGGTTCCTTTTGGGGCAGTGAAACAGAATCTGAAGATAGAAAGATGTGAATAAGAACATGCCTGGGTGGCCATGATACTATGTACCTGTGATCCTAGCAGGTGTGAGGCTGAGTTGGGGGGTTGTTTTGAGTTTGAGGTCTGCCAGGACTACAGAGTGAGTTCTAGGCCAGCCAGAGCTACAGACTGACAACAAACATAAAAGGGAGACTGTTAGGTTCGTGGGATGGTGTAGCAGAGAGAGGTGCTTGCTGCCAAGCCCAATGAGCTAAGTTTGAGCCTCAGAACTCACATAGTATAAAGAGAGAACCAGGCTGGGCATGGTGGCCTTTAATCCTGCACTCCGGACACAGAGGCAAGTGGATCTCTGTGAATTTGAGGCCAGCTTGGTCTACAAAGTGTGGCCAGGACAGCCAGAGCTATTACACAGAGAAACCCTGTCTCAAAAAAACGAGAGAGAGAGAGAGAACACCAGCTCCTGGAAGTTGTGTTCTAAATGTGGTATACTATGTTTATTTGTTTGCACACACAAACCAATAAATAAATGCAATAAAAAGAAAACTCTCCTGATATGCATGCTATGGTAAATAAGAACCTGAAGAATCAGACCTGCTCCCTCCACCAGCTATTTTCCATTATTCACCCCTTTATCATTGCAGTTAAGTTCTCCCAGCGGTTTCCATCACCTGAGACATCACAAGTTGTCACCTTTTTTTTCTCCTCCTCTTTTTCTTTTAAATTTTTTAAGACAGGGTAGCCCTGGCTGTCCTGGAACTCACTCTGTAGACCAGGCTGCCCTTTATTTAGTGTATGTGTGTCTGTCAGTCTGTCAGTCAAAGGACAACTTGTTCAGGCTTTGCAGCAAACACTTACTAGATAGCTGAGCTATCTCCAATGGCTCAAAGTCCCCTCTCCTTGGAGGCTTCACACCTTTCAGCTTGGCCCTTTCCTATGCATGGCATTCTCAGTGCCTGGCTCTCCTGTGGACCAGCTGATAGGGCACTCCAGTCCACTTCTGCATACTCTTCTATCTCCCAGGACAGGGAGGAGACAAGTCTGAAGAACCTGTCTCTGCCAGTTTTGGTATGGTGGTGATGAGGCTGATGGGCGTTCAGAGCTTTGGATTATCCTCTCTACGACATGGGGAAGATGCTTGTTTGGATGAGGAGGCACACAGGCCTCCTTTTATGTTCCATCAGCTTAAAGTCAAAGGAGCATGGGGAACCTGTGCCTTCTGATTGGCCATTTTGCAGATTCCACTCCTTTTTTTTTTTTTTTTTTTTTTAATTTTGAGATATGGTTTCTTTGTGTAGCCCTGTGTGTCCTGGAACTCGCTCTATAGACCAGGCTGGCCTTGAACTCACAGAGATCCACTTACCTCTGCCTCCTGAGTGCTGTTACCACTGCCAGGCAGAGCCCACATTTTTTTTTAAAGATTTTATTTTAATTTATTATGTATACAGTGTTCTCTGCCTACATGTATACCTTCATGCCAGAAGGTGGCACCAGATCTCATTATAGATGGTTGTGAGCCACCATGTGGTTGCTGGGAATTGAATTTAGGACCTTTGCAGGAACAGCCAGGGCTATTAACCTCTGAGCCATCTCTCCAGCCCCAGAGCCCACTCTTAAAGTACGTTTCAGTATTAGCTCGTGGTGGCTTCATTTCATGCCTTCTCTCTACAGGCTCTGATGTGACGGTACAACTGAATACAGCTGAGTTCAGGCTTGTATTCCAGCTACCCTTTGGTTCACACACCAGAATGTTCCTCCAGGAAGTTGCCAGAGCATGCCCAGGTAGGTAAGAACCAGGTTTCCTGGGAAGGCTGTGTTGGCTGGAGGCACTGGCCTACCCTCTCCATAGCTGACTTTCCAAACCCACGGCACCATCCCAAGGCTGTTGGCATAGAGTCAGAGTGTCTTAGCTGCCAGCCAACTACTGTGTTTGCTTTCCTTTTTTGAGATGAGGGTCTTGCTCCCAATTCCTGATCTTTCTGCCACAGCCTCCCTCCTGTGTGTTGCGATTACAAGCAACTATCACCACACCTGGCCCACCTTTGCTTTTCTGTTTTGGTTTCTAAACCTGAGTGTTAACGGGGCTGTGACCCGCAGGAATTCAAGGCTTCTTCCAAATTAGCTGGGAGGTTCAAATTCCAGTATCCAAGCCTAAAAGCAAGAGAAGTTTGTCAAGTGGATTCTGCCCTCAGATCTTGCTCTCTTCCCCACTGTAGCTGGGAAAAGAAAAAAAAAAAAAAAAAAAAAAAAAAAAAAAAAGTCTAGCTTTGGCCCAGCAGAGAGAAGTTAGCTGATAAATTAGTTTACATGGGAGGTCAGCCAGGCAAATAGAGGCGAGTCTGTATACAGAGCAGAGCCCCAGTAACAGAACATGCAAATTCATGCCGCCAGGTGCTGAGATTCAGGTGTTCACCCAGCGCCATTATGGAGGAGTTCCTTCAAAGCTAATGTCTTGTCTCTGCAGGAATGTACGGAAGGTTTGTCTCCTATGATAACTGTCTATGGGGCCTGACCTTCCAGTTCCAAGCATTTCACTAGGTGGTGTCAGGAAGATGACTGGCTTTGGAGGCAAATTGGCTTTGTGGTAAAAGGAAATCAGGACAAGAATTACAGAGCCTTGAATGGTTAAGGAGCTTAAGTGCTATTTCATAAGCAGGGAAACTTTACTTATAAATCATAAAATAATAAAGATAATTTATGATTGTTAGTCGTGGTTGTAGGCATGGGAATTACTCATTATTATTAAAGTTGGGCATCCATAACGTGGAAATACCAAACTGCAAACCCTCCAAAATCCAAACTTTTTTTGTTTGCCTTTCAAGACAGGGTTTTTCTATGTACCTCTGACTGTCCTGGAACTTTCTCTGTAGATCAGGCTAGCCTTGAACTCACAGAGATCCACCTGTTTCTGCCTCAAGAGTGCTGGGATCAAAGGTGTGCGCCACCACCACCCAGCTTAATTTCTTTCTCTTTTCTTTTTTTAAAGATGGGATCTTATGTAACCCAGGGCTGTCTTAAACCTGCTGTATAGTTTAGGATGACATTGAACTCTTGATCCTCCTGCCTCTCCAATGAATTCAAAGAGTACAGGGCCAAACTTATATAATTGCTTAATATTCTTTGGGCAGGGTGTCATAAAGACCCTTTGAACACAGCTTTGAACTGTGTATTCAAGGATAACCTTCATTTCCAGATCTCTCATCTCTACTTTTCAAGCGCTAGTGTAACAGGCATGAGCGTCCAAGCTTGGGTTTTATAATGCTGGGGTTCAAAACAGGCCCTTGTGCATGCTAGACTGGTTCTCTACTAAGCTACAGTCCCATCCCTTTCATTGTTAGTTTTGTGTGAGAGTGTCTCCCATAGCTTAGCTGGCTGGATATCTGTTTGGTACACAGTCAAGGTTGGCCTTGAACTCCTGATCCTCCTGCCTCTGCCTCAGTTGCTACCATTGCAGGTGTGTTCTACCTTGATCAGCTTCAAAAACCAGAAAATTGTTTTTGGAGTGATAATATACTGCAAATGGAAAATACCACATCATAAAATTCTGTTTTATGATCAAAATTATCAAATATCGCATATAATCAACTCAGTCTATGTGTGTAAGATATACAGGAAGTGTGCGTGAATTTTTCATTTAGAGTTGGGTTCCCTTTCTAACATGTGTCAGCCTGTCCCAAATATCCCAACATCTGAAGTCTGAATCCTTCTGGTCCAAGTAAGTGAAGAGAGATCCAATCTGTCAAACCAAAAAGCAGGGCTCTACAACTCCATAGTGTCTGGAGCCTGGCCAGTTCCGAGCAGTGCAATTCCTCACATCTATGAATCACCGTTTCTTTTCTTCCTCATTTTTCTTCCTCCTCCTCCCACCTCCTCTCTCTCTTTTCCCCCCTTGGTTTTTTTTTTTAATTATTTTATTTTATGTACATCAGTTTGAAGGTATCAGATCCCTTGGAGCTGGAGTTACAGACAGTTGTGAGCTGCCATGTGGGTACTGGGACTTAAACCCGGATCCTTTGGAAGAGCAGACAGTGCTCTTAACCACTGAACCATCTCTCCAGCCCCCCCCCCTTGGTTTTTTGAGACAGGGTTTCCCTGTGTAACAAGAGCCCAACTGTCCTGTACTCACTTTGTAGCCCAGGCTGGCCTCAAAACCACAGAGCTCCACCTGCCTCTGCCTTCCAAATGCTGGGATTAAAGGCAAATGCCACCATGCTTGGCTTCCTTCTCTTTTTTGGGGGAAGGGGTTTAAAACAGAGTCTCTCTATAGACCAGGCTGGCCTCAAAGTCACAGAGATTCTCCTGCCTCTTACTCCTGGTGCTAGGATTAAAAGTATATGCTACCATTTCATGACTGTTTTTGCAGTCTAATGTATGTAAATATATCTTCCTCATGGGGGTTGTAGGAATAAAAAGAAATAACACCCATAAAAATGGCTAGTACATAGAAGTCCAGAAAATACTTCCTCTTTCTATACTTGTAGAGAACTGTCTAAACGTTTTTATTTTTATTTATTATTTATTTCTTTATTTATTCATTCATTTGGTTTTTCAAGACAGAGTTTCTCTGTGTAGCCCTGTCTGTCCTGGAACTCACTCTGTAGACCGGGCTGGCCTCAAATTCAGAGATCTTCCTGCCTCCACCTCTGGAGTACAGGGATTAAAGGCAGGTGCCACCACTGCCAGGCATCTCTAAAGTTTATTGTTGATTAGTCATGCTTTAGACTCTTCCTTCTTTCCCTTCTTTGGCATTTTTGAGATAGGAAACAGGGCTCACTATATAGATCTGGGTGTCCTGGAACTCACTATGTAGAACAGGCTGGCCTCGAACTCACAGAGACCCATATGCCTCTGCCTCCTGGACACGATGCCCAGGTAGACTCTTTTCTAAGACAGTTAACCCTTACCATAACCTTACAAAGTAGGTATTAACAGTATCTCTTTATCATCAAAGGAACTCAGGCTTAGTGAGGGTAAGGGCTCTCCTGCCTGTATAGCTAGCAAATATGGGTTGCATCCTAGCTGAAACCAGGATTTGCTAGATGTCCTCTGGACCCTGAGGCTCTGCTCCAGTGCTTTTCTTTCCATGTTAACAGTTTAGAGAAATCTTCCTGGAGGAGGTGATGTTGAAGCTCAGACTATAAGGAAGAACAAGCATTTTTTTTCCCCCTAGTCAGGCAAAAGGAGGGAAAAGGTCATTGGGACTAGGGGAGGAGTGGTTGGTGGGACTGAACTTGGATAGGTGTGGAGAGAGCTGAGCCAGAGAAGCTGGCAAAGGGCAGCTCACGAAGAGTAGCAAAGTACAGAGAAGCTTGGACTCTGCCCTGTAGCTTTCGGAGAAACCTTAAAAGAGTTTGCAAATGTTTCCAGGAAGATTTGAAAGTTTGAGAAGCTCCTCTGGCAACTGGTATGGAAGTCAGTGAGAGCCTGGAGCAGGGACAGCAGTAGAGCTCTAAGAAGGTATGTGTCACCATGGTTCAGGCATAAAGAATAAGCCTTAGGCGGCTGAAGAGTTGGCTCAGCAGTTAAGAGCGCTGACCACTCTTGCAGAGGCTCTGGGTTCAATGCCCAGTACCCAGCTTATAACTGTAACGCCAGTTCTAGGGGACTTGTCTAGCCTCCTCGGGTACCAGCAAATGCATGGTGCACATGTATAGATGTTGGCGGAACATTCATTCACATAAAATAAACTGCTTTTTAAAAATGAGGCTTTAATCCCGGCACTCGGGAGGCAGAGGCAGACAGATCTCTGACTTCAAGGCCAGCCTGGGCTACAGAGTGAATTCCAGGACAACCAGGGTTACACAGAGAGACCTTATCTCAGGAAGAGAGAGAGAGAGAAGAGACTTAGACCAAGGATGTGGCTATGGGACTGGGGAAGAAGGAAAAGAGAGACAGTGAGATCATTTGAGAGCAAAGGTACCAAGGGGGCCATGAGTTTGGGTTGTGTTGACAACTTGATTTCAACTGATTAGAACAGTGCCTGTATATATTAGACATGAAAAAAAAATTGCTGAGAGGATGAACGGAGTGTGGTATTGGTACCTGAGGTCAGGGGCTGGGCTGGGTGTTTCTAGGTTCTTGGCCTCTTATCCAAAGAACTGAAAAAAATGGCTCACACAGATTTGCTAAAGAAGCAAGCTAACCTCAGTGGAACAAAGCTATATTGAAAGTTATAGAGGAAGAGCAAGCTTGACAGTGAACTGCCTGCGGGAGGCTACCTGAGGGTGCTGGCTATAGCCTACTGTGAGAAGGGATTTGTTACTAAGGAGTGTACTTTGGGTGGGTTCTCTATTTTGATTGGTAGGTTAAGTCATGTATTCATTTTTTTCTTCAGTGGGTACCCTTTCCCATAATGATTTTAATCATATTATACATAGACATAATTTAATTATTTATTTTATTTAATTAATTAAACTTATTTAATCAATTATTTAATTAATTAAACTTATTTAATTACACATGATATACTCTATAATAGCATCCAAACCAGTTTAGGCTGGGTCAGCCTTTCTATTCTTCAGACATGGATCCATTGGGAATAGGATTAACTAGAAAACCGTCTAAATTTGGTTGCTATCAGAGGCAATTTAGAGATGGGAGTATGTGTGGCTCAGACATACTCAGGATGTGGATGGTTCTTTTACTTCTTCAGACCTTAGTTTTCTGATCTAAGAAATAGAAAGATAAACTTGCCTTACCTACTCACCTAAGGATGTTGTGGGGATCAGGTGAGAGTAGGTATGGGCTAGTACTAAGTAACATTGACAATAATTGGAAAGCAGTGTCCTTTCATGCCACACTCCAGGATTTGAGTTTAGGTCTCCTCAATATGACCGTCTTGCAGATCCAATTTAGTTGAATCTGGTTCATGCGGTTCTACAAGCTGAGCAAGCAGGACAAGAAGGGTTTAGCAAGAAGGGTTAATGCCAGGGTTTGGGAGTCAGAGCTGCGGTTGAGTGAGAAGCAGAGGTGGCTCAGGAACTTCTGGAGGGGAGGGGTGCCACTGGGTTAGAAGTACCAGAAGGCTGTCTGTTTTTTTTTTTTTTTGTTTTTGTTTTTGACAAGCTTTCACTATGTTGCCCAGCCTGGCCTGAAATGCTCAGTCTTGTGCCTCGGCTTCCTAAATGCTGAGATTACATGAGTGCAGCCCAGACTGATCCTGAATTTCTGGTCCTCCCACTTCCACCTCCTGAGCTCTGAGACTGCAGGTGTCTCTGTCTTTCCCCATCCCCACCGCCCCTCACCCTCAGCTTTATGTGGTGCTAGGAATCCACAGCTTGGTACATGCTAGGCAAACACTCCTAACCAGCTACATCCCCAGACCTCAGAGGGCTTGTCCTAATAGTATATTAAATAGAATATAAAACATAGTTTATTTCTAGTTTGTCTGGAGTGGCCAGGAAGTTGCAGGTGGAGGATGGGGTGGGCGTGGGGGGAGTTAAATCCCCCAGCCTATTCTTGAGTGCTGGCATGCTGGCGTCTGGTTATGTCTCCTACTTTGCCATTCCACTTCGTGACCTTGCTTTTAGCCTTTCTGAACTTAGTTGCTTCCTCTATAAAATTAGGATAATAATTTCCTACCTAATAAAGTTTTCTGGATAATAAAGCGGTCCTGCTTTAGCAGAGAACTACTGTTAATTGCATTTGGATTTCAGATCCACGCCGAGCAAGAGGGAAACGGGCTTGAAGGGTCTCCACCACACACAACCTTACAGAAGGGCAGCTGGCTTTTTTAAACCCGTGGCTCAGTCCGTTCTCCGTTGTTCCTCCCACAGGTTTCGACCCTGAGACGCGGGATCCGGAGTTTCTGTGGCTGTCTAGACATAGGTGCGCAGAGCCAGATGCCCAATCGTGGAAACCGCGCAAGTGGAACTCAGACCCGGGTACCCGGAGCAGATTCACGCCCATTGGAGGAGGCAGGTATCAGTCTCGGAATGCACGGCGAGGATTGGAGAATGTCTTGCCTGAGGGGCCCTGGCTAACTTCAGATTGGGGGCAGGGCCAAGAAGGAGCCTGAGTTCCTATTGGCGGAGGAGGTGCAGGGGCGGGCCCGTGCAAAGACGGAGCGCGCGAGGCGGGCGGCGGGATGAAGTGCTTGAGGAAGCAGACTGGGAAATGTCGGCAGGCGGCGGCTCTCGGGAGCGCGACTGTGCAGGTCGGGCGGTCGCTGCGGAGCGGGGCTGCGGTGTCGGGCCTTCGGGAGGACTGGCGGGTCGGCAGATGGCTGCGCGGGGCGAAGGTCGAGGTCTTGGCCGTCGGCGAGGCGGGGATGCTGCGGCTAAGTTCTACCGCGAAGTTACTCTCCGCCAGGCGGGAGGGCAGCAGGCCGGTGACCAGCGGGTACCCGGGTATCCCGAGGCCGAGGGGTTAGGGAAGCCTCGTGGGTGACCCGCTGTGTGACCTCGGGCTGCTTGCTGCCGCTCTTGGCGTTTCGGTTTCTCCAGCCGAGGTAGTTCCTCAGTCCCTGTCTTTCGAGGGTGGTGAGTGTCTGTGGGGGTGTGCGCGGCTCTGACAGGGTTGGCCTCAGAGGAGATGCGGTTGGGGCCGGCGCTCCCTGTGCTCCGCAGCCGCCGGGACGGAGTGGCCTGTGCACATAGCCGGAGTGCAAGGGGGCCCTGGCTACAGTGAACACCGGAGGCCTTCGGGGATGAGGTTACAGGAGAACCCAGCTAGGTTTTTGCTGCTCGTGCCCTGGATAATGTGCAGCACAGAAGGCTGATTGTTGAACACGGTGTTGTGCTTTGCAGAGTGGGGGAGGAGGCGCCGGGCCGAAATTTGGGTCAGTCCCTGTGATTTAGGGCTCCCTGGCGTTTGTTTTTTCCAGGGTGTTGTCCACGAAGCACCGGGCTCCTGAGGGCTTTGGCGCAAACGCTAATACCCATTTGTACCATTCCTGTCCGTCCTTTGCTAGCGGTGCAAGTCTGTCAAGTAGCCTTGTCAAGTATGGGCCAGGACGTTCGCATAAATTCCGAGGCTTGAAAAATATGAGGAGTGGGGCGCCGTGACCTGTTGGGCAAGAGTTTGTAAAACGAGAGGAAACTAGGCAGCAGAGGACTTCCTCAGTTTTTCCTTCCTAGAAACTACCACAAGATGCCGCCGAAGCCCCCGATGGTGCAGATAGTGGGCAACTTTCTTGGACTTATCTGAAAGCTTGAAGCACAGCCGTTGCTTCAGTTTCCATGACCTTCTGGTTTGTGGTACTGGCACTGGTGAGCATTTAAGATGAACAACTCCTCCTTGCCCTTAACACGAGGCTTTCAGAAATGCAGTTAAGTGGAGAACTGGCCCACTGGCCGCACAAAGAGGTGTGGGTCCCGTCTTCTGCCCACATGCCAGAGCTGGCCTTTTGGGCTGCTGGTGGAGAGATATAGACGATGAGAAAATCAGGGCAGCCAGCTCTGAAAAGAGTTATCCGCCCCAGGGTGAGAAAAGTGCTCCGGTGGCAGAAGCATTCATTTTGCTTCACAAAGGAACAACTGGCCACATGCTGGAGAGGAATTACTGTCAAGGTTTTGCTTTGAGTTTTAATTCAAAAGATTCATCCGCATCATAATGCCCAACAGTAGGTGAGATTACGTGGGTAACTCTGCTAAGTTGCTGCTGTTGAAATTGGAAAGAATGGCAGCCCCCACTTCTGTTCGGGTCACCTCTGGCCTCAACAGAGAGTTGCTTCTTCTTTAAGAAATGGAAGGAACCGTCTGCACCACCTCTGGACGCACCAGTTAGGTCCAGCCCTAGTGGAGACAAGTAGTGGATTTTGATTCCTCCCATGTTGTGGACCCTCAAAATCCCCACTTCTCCAAAACCTGGGGAACTAACCCAAGGCCAAACACAGCTTCCCAGGGCTGTTTTTTTAGCCAGGTGTGGTAGCAATTGCCTGCAGTCCCAGCAGTTGGAGGAAAGTAGCAGGGCTAGGGGTTTAGCAGCATCTTTAGGTACACCAGTGAGCCCAAGGCCAGTGGCCACTTGAGCTACATGACGTGAGCCACTCTCTCACAAAAACAGACAGCTATTCTTCAGGAGCTGACCTTGGATGGAGAAAGGTCTGCTATCGAATAAATAGAGCTGAGATGGTACAGAGTCAGTCTAGCAGCATGATGGTCCTGGAAGGGTTAATAAGGGCATCGCAAAGGTCCAGGTGTTTGAGGGTGAAGTTAATCTAGTTTTCATCTTGTTCTTTTGCCTTGTTAGAGGAAGATCTCATTTCAGTGATTCTTTCCCCCATTTGTCTCAGCTGAATTCAAGAGTGCCAAGGTTAGGTAGGGGAGATAGCTCAGTGAGTAAAGTACTCACCTTGCAAGTACGAGGACCTGGGTTCTTATCCCTGGATCTCATGTAGAGCCAGGCACCATATTGTGGGCATCTGTAATCCCAGGGTTCCTGTGGTGGGATGGGAGGTGGGGACAGGACAATCTCTGGAAACTCGAAGGCCGCCTACCCTGCTGTATTCAGGGATGAAAAAAAGACTTTGTCTCAAATGAGGTGGAAGGTGAGGATTGCATATACACACGCAGACTCATCCCTCGGACTTGAACAAGAGAGTTCTAGGGTGAAGGGTGTGGACCGTAGTGGGAAAATGAGATGGAGCTAGTTTCTGACTAAGACTGTGTCTTCAGGGTCACAGAGGTGTCAGTGCTGGGCTGTGGCATGGAATACAGTGGCAGGTGCTCTTGGTCTCTGGAACATTATATAGTCTTGTTTCAGACAGTAGCTGTTGTGCTTTGTTATTTATTTTATTGCTTTTAACTTTGGGATGCTCCTTCCTTCCTTAATGAGAACAGAGTGTGGCTTGGGAGGAATGTCTCGTTATTGCTGTTAAGGGCTTCTTAACTCATACAGCCATACTGAGCATGGGGCTCAGTACTGTCTGAGTCATTTTGCAAAAAAGTTCACTGGCACTTCAGTCTGGGTTCACAGCAGAGACCTGGAGTTGCATTCTGGAGAGTTCTGAGCCATACACGGAAAAGGAAACAGCTCAAGCCCTGTGGGGTCATTTAACTAAATGGCAAGAACAGGAGCTGGGGTCCAGGAAAATGGCTCTTGCCACCAAGCCTGATGACCTGAGTTTGACTCCTGGAACTTATGTGGAGAAGGAGAGAACTGACTCCCACAAGATGCCCTCCGACTGTCACATATGCCCCATGTCATTCGTGTGTGTACTCACTTCACACACCCATTCCCACACACAAATTCATAGTAAATAAAGGAGTAAATGTAATTTAAAAAAAACAAAACCAACAAAGTGATAATGACATTATTTTCCAAGACAGGGTTTCTCTGTGTAGCTCTGCTGTCCTGGAACTCACTCAGGCTGGCCTTAAACTCACAGAGGTCTGCCTGTCTCTGTCTCCCAAGTGCTGGGATTATAGGAGTCCGCCACTAGTGCCCTACACATTTTGGTGTTTTCAAGCAGGTTCTTTTTCTTCTAGCTGATTTGAAGTCAGGCAGCTTTTTAATAGCTGGTGTGCGAGTGTGTGTGTGTGTGTGTGTGTGTGTGTGTGTGTGTGTGTATTTGTGTATTTGGAGGCCATAGGTCACCTCAGGTATTGTTCCCCAGGAGCCATCCATCTTGTTTTTTTGAGACAGGGTTTCTCATTGGTCTGGAGTTCTGAGTAGTCTAGGCTGACTGGTTATAGAGTCCCAGGAATCCTCCTGTCTCTGCCTCTCCAGTCCTGGGATTACAGGTGAAAGCTTTTTATATGCCTGGCTTTTTATATGGGTGCTTGGGATCAAACTCAGGTCCTCATGCTGATGTAGCAAGCACGACTGAACTCTGTCTAGCCCTCCAACCCAGTTTTCACTGCAGTAGGTTTATGAATATTTTCTCCTGGACCCAGGAAGCAAGGCATTAAACTCTGGCTGGCCTGTGAAAGGAAATGACTACTATTTATATCTTAGGGTAGCATAAAGGGTAACCTAGATTACCAGAGTCAGAGCCAGAGAGAATGTTAGAAAAATAGCCTGGGGGTTGGTTTTCTGTTTCTTTCATCCGGCTTCATGTCTGTGTTAATAAGTAAAACCTGCGTGACTGATGTATTCTTTCATTGTGGAGAAGATGAATTTGCCTTTTGTTTATCTTTGAGGTGGAAATACTGCCCATCATGTCCGATGCTGTAGGAAGTTCTTCAGGCTCCCAAGCAAATTAATTGGACTCATTTGTTTCTTTACACAAAACAAAATGGTATTCACTTTTCTTCCTTTTGTTGTTTCTGTCTCCATTTTTTTTTCCTTGTCCTATCCAACCTCTTGTTTCCACAACAGGCTAACCTCCTTAATAATTGTTTTCTTAAGAAAATAGTTGGTTTTGGAAGTCTGCAGTGTCTTGTCTGGAACATGAAAGGTGACCCACAGACACTCAATTAGGAGTGGAGCTTTGCACAGAAATCCTCAGGGCATGACAGTTCAGGAAGTGGGAAACATCAATATTTATTAGAGGAAGGACAGTGTTGAGGCAGAGAAACTGACTCTGTGTGTGTGTGTTATTTTGTTATGTTGTCTAAAATACACAGTAACAACAATAACAACAACAACCCAAACAAAAAAGAAAAATAATCCCAACAAAAACAAAAGCAGCTGGGCATGGTGGCTCATGCCGCTCATCAGGAGGGGGGCTGCATAGATCCTAGTTTGCTGTATGTGCAAGGCTCCAAATTCCCAGTACTAGAAAAAAAGTGGGAAAAAAAAATCCATTAATAATTGTGTAGACTTTACTGAAGATCCATATATGAACTGAAGCTAGCAAATATAATAGGAAGAGACTCTCATTCGTGGCATTTTGATAAGGATTTAAACAAAGTGCGTGTCTGAGTGGCCTGGATGTTTTAAAAATGAAAAGCTATTGCTTCCACAATATTAGGACGCTGTCTTGATTGTTCTTTTCTTTCTTTTTTCTTTGTGAGCATGTGTTGTACGCCTG